TGGGGGGGGGGGGGGGGAAGGGGAAGGGGGATAAATCTTCGCTCCTCTCTTTAAATAAATCGATGCTTGGTACCCGGAAAAAAAAAACAAAAGAAGAGAGCTTCCCCCTCCCCCTCTCCCCCCCCCCACCAGCTTTCATTCTCCTCCTCCTCTTTGTCCTTGTGCTCCTCCTCCTCCTCGTCCTCCTCCTCCTCCCTCTTCTGCTCCTCCGTCGTCCTCCTCCTTCTGCTCCTCTTCTTTCTCCTCTTCCTCTTCTTGCTCCACTTCGTCTTCCTCCTCCTCTTCCTTCGCTTTTTTTTTTCTTTCCCTTTTCTTTCGTTTTTTTTTGGTCTTCATATATATACCGTTTGGCTTGTCGTTGATCTGCTGCAAGAATGCGCAATGGTTTGGGGGGGGGCGAAAAAAAAAAGAGGAGTCCGACGTGGCGTACATGGAATTCCGTTCATGTTAAAAAAAAAAAAAAAAAAAATTCCGTTCATGATGGTTCGAATAGAGAATGGTAACGCAGTATTTTTAGGGAGGAAAAAAAAAAGAAAAAAAGAAAAAAAGAAGTAAAAGAAGAGCAGGGTTCTGCTAAGCGCATAGCGTGATATAAAATGAGCGGAGTTTCTTGTATTGAAAAAAAAAAAAAAAAAAAACACGTTTAGCGTGACCGCTATGCGCAGTGATCTCCTCTTTTCCTTCGAATAAAACAGAGGGGAAAAAAAAAAAAAAGAGGAAATAGAGTGAAAAAACAAAGGGGAAAAGAATAAAGACGGCAACGGCAACACAAAAGAGCGCCTTTCCCACAAAAACAGAAAGAAAGGGAAAACGTAAGAAAAGAAAAAAAAAAGGGAAGAAAAGAAAAAAGAGCGCCTTTTACAGAGAAGATTAGCATAGCCCCTTCGCAAGGTTGACACGCGTAAAAATCGAGAAAATGTTCCAAACTAAAAAAAAAAAAAAAAAAAAAAAAAGAGCGCCTCGTAGAGCGCCACACGTGGAGTTCTTTTGAAATTTTAAGTTGGGAAAGAAAGGAAAGGAAAAAGAAATGGATAAGCGCCCTTTTTTTTTTTTATATATATTTATTAACCTATATTCGTCTCTTAATTTCACCTTTCACTATGTACCTACCACTACTACTCCGCCTGTACAAGGGGGACCCCTGCAAGAGCATAGCTACCTCCCACAATTAAATGTAGACATCGCCCTGACATACTACCTGCAGTAGGTGGTAGTTTGTCTGAATCTGGTCGAAATATGAGGAAAGTGCATGCTATGTAGCTTGGCGGACAGACGATGGCATCAAAGGTGGTTGTGTGCTTTGTCTGAATCTGGTCGAAATATCGGGAAAGTGCATGCTATGTAGCTCATCTTTCAGACGATGGCATCAAAGGTGGTGGTGTACGAACTCGAGCTTGAACCTCGTCCCAAAAAAATGCAGACCAGGTTCGTTCATACTACGCTAACTTAGCACAGACTACGGTTGATCGGTGCAGTAGGTGGTGGGGTTAGTCTGAATCTGGTCGAAATATCGGGAAGTGCATGCTATGTAGCGCATCTTACAGACGATGGCATCAAAGGTGGTGGTGTGCTAACTCGAGCTTGAACTTCGTCCGAAACGCAGACCAGGTTCGTTCGTGCTACATTAACTTAGCACAGACTACGGTTTATCGGTCCAGTAGGTGGTGGTTAGTCTGAATCTGGTCGAAATAGAGGGCAAGTGCATGGCATGTAGCTTAGCGGACAGACGGTTGCATCGAAGGTGGTGGTGTGCGAACTCCAGCTTGAACTTCGTCCGAAAGGCAGACCAGGTTCGTTCGTGCTACACTAACTTAGCACAGACTACGGTTGATCGGTGCAGTAGGTGGTGGGGTTAGTCTGAATCTGGTCGAAATATTGGGAAAGTGCATGCTATGTAGCTCATCTTACAGACGATGGCATCAAAGGTGGTGGTGTGCTAACTCCAGCTTGAACTTCGTCCGAAATGCAGACCAGGTTCGTTCATACTACTACGCTTATTGACTACGGTGGGTTGATCGTTTCCGAGGGCGATCGCTGACGGGCGGGTGGGCGAGATAGGCCGTCTCAGGTTGTACTCACAGGATAACTTTTTCAACGTATCTGGACGCAATTGCGCTCAGGTGCATCCTGGAATGACCGTAAAAGCGGTCAGCTGCGTCCACGAAAGTCCGCGTGTGCGATGGGCTCAGACAACACACGATATTATTATAATTACTAATACTGAAAAACACGAGGAAAAAAAAAAAAGTCTACCAACTAATTACCGTCTTCCCCCGAATATAACGTACCCTCATCACGCCTGCATCGGTGGGCTCCTTTTTTTACTTACCTGGACGCAATTGCGCTCAGGTGCATCCCGGAATGACTATAAAAGCGGTCAGCTGCATCCTCGAAAGTCCCCCTGTGAGATGGCCGCAGACAACACACGATATTATTATAATTATTAATACTAAAAAAAAACGGAAAAAAAAAAAAAAACTCTACGACGATTGCCAAGGAGGCCAACTACCTACCGTCTTCCCCCGAATATAACGTACCCTAATCACGTCTGCATCGGACCGTGTTCGTGGGAACGGGGTGGCGAGCTCTACGGGTAGGCTCCTTTTTAATATTTTTTATTTTTATTTTTATTTTTATTTTTATTATTGTTATTTATATTTATTTATATTTATTTATTTTTATTTTTATTTTTATTTTTATTTTTATTTTTATTTTTTAATTTTTCGGGGTGCGCTCTCCCTCGAAAACGGATGAATATCAAGTGAAAAAAAAAAGAAAAAAAAAAGAAATAGGAAATCATCTAGCTCACCTTAACGTCCAGATGCAGAGATGTGCAAGCGGACTCGGAACCCCCGTCGCCGATCTTTAGGGGACTGTCCACGTCAGCCTGATGTCCACATCACCCTCGTGTGCACGTCATTCTGGGCCCAGGTCCCACTTGGAAAGAGGATTGGAGTAAGGCATGCATCTGGTCGTGTTTATGGAGAGAGGGTACAGAAACCCGCAATTGATCTGCTTTTCTGCGTCGCCGCGTAAAATGCCATAAACCACGTCCAGATTCAGGTGCTTAATCCGGTCCTCTCTGCTACAATCTTCACCCGAATAGAACGCTTTGTCATTACAGCTGTATTTGGGGCGATTTTCTGTCCAGATGCAGCCTTAATGACCGGGCGTTCTATTCGGGTGAAGACGTTAGTGGGACCTCGCCCCTGGTGTCCACATCAGCCCAGGTCAGTCAGGTCCCGACGTCAGCCTGGTCTCCACGGTAGCCGGGATACCGTTACACGTCCGCCCGGGGGCGAGGTCGAAGAGGATTGTATCTAAGCTCCTGAATCTGGATGTGTTTTCGGACAGATGCAGAAAAGCAGTTCGATCTCGATTTTCTGCACCTCTCCACAAAAACGTCCAGATGCAGGCACTCAATCCAATGCTCTTTGCTAGTGGGACCTCACCCCGGTAGTAGTAGGTGGGAACGCATCGATGGTTGAGCGCGGAGGGGGTCCCTCGTGTATGGATGTATTGAGTGACCTTCTTCCCCCAAATACAACGTACGGTCATTATAGCTGGATTTAGACTGAAAGACACCCCAAATACAGCTATAATGACCGTACGTTGTATTAGGGGGAAGAAGGTAGTACGGACGGACAGTATGTACTACTGATCCGTGCAAGTGGGGCTTCGAACTTGCTCGCCCGGCCGTGCAGCACGGCTGTGCATCCCGGGCGACGTGCCCAGGGGTCAGTGCACGGGGTGCGGCATGAAGGCAAAAGTCTGCCCTCTCTATCTCTTCTTTGTTTGGGGGGGGTTAGGGTAGGGTTTTCCACCCATGCCCAGGGGAGCTCAAATACGGTGGTGGTCCTTTCTCTCTTTTTGTTTTCGAGTGCTGACTGTCAAGGGGGGTGCAAGGGGGGTAGAAATACCTTTTCAAGGGGCTAAAGGGGTCAAGAGGGGGGTGCCTTAGTCTGATCCTGTTGTTTTCTATTTTATCATCGAATCCGTGAGGAATTCTGATATGAACCTCCGCCAGAAGGCTTTTGAAAAAAAAAAAAAAAAAAAAAAAAAGGTCTTTTGTATTGCAATCCTACACAACATTTTTTATTTCTGGATTTTTTTGCACTGAGGCTCTGCCCGGAGCCCTGCCGGGGTTCATGCCCGGCGTGGCGCCCGGGTTTGTGTTTGTGTCTGGGCACAAGGTTAATGCCGGGCCACCCGGCAAAACAGTCTAGCCGAAAAAAAAAACTTAGTCCGCACTACCCTGCTTCCAAAGAATTGGGGTGGGGCAGGTGTCCGGGCGGTCCAGGGTTTTGGGGCCAAGGTAACCCCTCACATTATTTCAAGATGGGATAATTCGCAAGATACCCCCTTACGTTGAGATATGTGCGAAAATGCAGTTTTGGGGCCACGGTAACCCCTCACATTATTCCAAGATGGGATTATTTGCAAGATACCCCCTTAAGTTGAGATATGTGCGAAAAAGCCCCTGAAAGATGTAGGTAGCGTGGAACGCCCTTTTGGGTCCGAAATCTTTTGTGTTATGCCCCTGTCAGGCGGGTATGCAAATTTGCAACCTGGACCTCCCCGTTTGGGCCTTGGCCTTTTGAAATCTGGCCTAGGAAAAGTTGGCAAGTGCTGGGGCGTTTTGCAAAGTTGGACGGTACCCAGTAGGGGCATATTGCAAAGCTGGGGGTCCCAACTACACCAGGGGTATTTTGCAAAATATTATTTTTGTCGGAGGGGCATTCCGCTCTAGTACCCACATCTTTCAGGGGGATTTTGGCATGCATCTCAACTTATGGGGGTATTTTGCCAATTTTCCCTTACAAGATCCATGTTATGCCTTCAGCAGGACTTGAACTTGGGCCCAGTGGTCAAGGCAGCACATCAAAAAAGTCAGATTATGTCGTGACCCCAGGCTCAGCCTCTGGCAAAAAGTGAAAGGGCAAAAAGGGAAAGTAGATTAGACTCCACCACATCATACACGAAAAAAGTAATATGAGCAAAAATCATTTGGCCTGAAAAAAAATAATAGAAAAATTGTGTTGCTGTCAACCTCTCTCCCTCTCACAGAAACACACGTATAACAACAATCACATGTCAGCAGCAACACCAGTACATCATACCAACTGGATTTACAAGAGTATACTTCACACATTCAGCTCAAGCATCTCTCTCTCTCTCTCTCTCCTGTCTCTTATACACATCTAGATGTGTATAAGAGACAGGCCCCTCCTCCTCCTCTTCTCCCTTCTCCTCCTCCTCCTCCTCCTCCTCCTCCTTCTCTTCCCCATTCTCTTCCCCCTTCTCTTCCCCTGTCTTCTTCTCGCCACCCCCCTTCTCTTCCTCCTTTTCTTCCTCCTCCTCCGCCTTGTTGATTTCCTGCCCTCCTCTGAATGCTGTCATTGACGTAATTCAGTGGCACACTGTGACGTGACTGATGTCTATGCTGGCCAGGATCACTAGAGGCTGTGCTGGCTTCAGGCTGTCGTTTCTCCGAAGATTGCACATCGGCGGTCAGGGAATGCAATAATTGTTCTGCTGCCTCTGTGAACCCTTGGTTACGTTTGCTGCATATAATCTCAGCTTCCTTCTCAGCATTCTGCTGAGGTACACAATGATGTGCAATCCCTCCTCTTCCTCCTTCCTTCCTGCCCAGGTCTTCCTTCGCATCATGCGATTCCGTATCGGGGCATCTACTTCTGAGATATCGACATCGGCCTGGACAGACAGAGGCGATGGTAGCTTCAGCTTCGTCTGCCAAGAATCTCAACTCTTCTATCATATTTTGTAGGATTGCAGTTTGAAGATCTCTCTTTCCATCGACAGGGTTTATGTTCTCTGCGACCTCGCGTCTTGCAATCCAGTATTCTTCTAGACCTTTGTCGACAATCTGGCGTGCCGTGAAGCACATGCCCAGTGCCTTCTTGAGACGACGCTTCAGAAGCTTCTCCGCTGCCAAGTGCACGAGAACTTCTTGCTTGTGTTCCTTCAGCGAGGAACGGTCGTGGTTCGCCGTAAACCCCTGTGCTGTCAGTTGTCCTAGCTCGTCTTGCAGTTTGACGAGGAGAGCCCTCGTACATTTCGCACCCTTTTGAAGTTTGTCAATAACAGACTTAGCAAAGCAAACCGCATGCCACTCACTGTCGGGGGTCCTTAAACCGCCAGTAGTACTTCTGAGCCGCTTTTGCCCAGGGCTGCAAATACCCTCCGCTCCCCGAAAAAATGAACCGGCGCCGGCCTCGTTTTGCCTGGCGCCACCAGCCATTTTGCTCTGGCTCCTGACCCCCGAAAGTTGTGGCAGCACGCAAGGCGCGTTGGAGACTAAGGGCTGGGAAATGTACTGGTGGTTTAAACCGTTAGTACCTTTCCCAGCTATGGACTGCAGGCCCTGCGCGCCGAGTTTCGGCGGCGCATCTGGTCGCTGCCAGAGGCCGAGTGTGGCCTCCGTGTTAACCGGCGCATTTCGGCAAGTCGGCTGGGAAAGGTCCTGGTGGTTTAAGTGCGACACTCCTCCAACAGATCTGCCTGGGAAGCAGCAGCCTCCATGCCACCAGCCATTGTGGCCTCCCTGCCTGCTACATCCTCGGCCTCCTCCTAATCCATTCGTGATGACATCATTCTCAAGCTCTGCACGATCACACCAACGGGCCTGGCTCAGTCGGTACACCCATCAACTGCTAAGATGCAGACTCGACCTCGAATCCACAATGGGCAACATGAATTTGAAAAACAAAAAGACAAAACTCTGCACAATCACCTCATCACACACACATCCATGGCAAGAAAACACCGCTCCCCACCAATAGATGGAGCCTCCCAGGCGGTGCTAGTGGTGCCTGCTCTTTCCAGCACCCCTAGCTTCCGCTCGGGTGTAATAAAAAAAAATAAGGAAAAAAAAAGAAAAAAAATGACCTACCTGGGTCAAAGGCTCACCAAAAACAAAAACAAAAACAAAAACAAACAAAAAAAAGAAAAGAAGCGCAGAGCAAACATGCTGCCCTCTTCCCCTGAGCGTAACCCCGCGCACCCTCATCACAAATGCATACAAGCAATCTGTCCAGTCCAAATACTGTCACGATAATGAATGCATACAAGTAAATTTCGAGTCCAAATACAGTCACAACGATAATGAATGCATACAAGCAAATTTCGAGAAATTTAGAGTCCAAATACAGTCACGATAACGAGTGCATACAAGCAAAATCTTTCCGCGCCAAATACAGTCATGATACTGGGGTCGTGTGTTCAGGAGAAGAAGGTGGTAGGGAGAAGAAAGGAAGTTGAGAAAAAAAATGAAGGGGCAAATTGGAAAAGAGGTCATGACATGATTAAAAAAAAAAAGAAAAAAAAAGAACAAGTCCTAGAGGTCATGCATGATATAGACCCCTCATGTCACCTCCCTGCACTGGTGAGCCTGGGGTCTGCAGGGTCACACAATTGACGAATGGTCCCCCCCCCCACCCCACCCCACCCCACTTATACATCCAGTTGACATTCTGTCCATGTAAGGTTGGCTGGATCAGAGACAATGGGTCGTGCTCCGCTACACAACACTCTACATGCATCTGGATGCTTTCTGGACCCCATACATTGAAAATGATGGACTCGTGCGAATGCACCTGGTCCAGAAACTGGCCATATGCAAGTCTCGCCGGATCAGAGACGACGACTACATTGCAATTGCATATACATTGGGTGGGTCTCACTCCACTAATTAGAACAACACTCTATATGCACATGGACGCTTTCTGGATCCCCCACATTGAAAATGTCCCACTCGTGTAAATGCACCTGGTCCAAAAGGCGTTCATATGTAAGTCTGGCCCGATCAGAGACAATAATTACATTGGAATTGCATATGTTGGGTGGGCGTCATTCTGTACTACGATTCCGGATTACCTACGGCTGGTTAGTTCCAATGATGGGATTTTAAGACCATCGCCCTTTTGTGAAAAATAAGAATAGTGTTGACGAACTTGTGACGCACGAGCTTACATGCATGCGCCCGTTCTTGAGCCCCTTTCCTTTTTTTCCTGTTCTTAAAGGGGTTGTAGACCATGTTTCCCAGTTTGTTTTCGGATTCCGATGCAATTCTTGAATTATTCTTCAAGCTTGGTCTTTGGTGGGGTATCGATGGGTGACTTGAATCGGTTCATCCATTTTCCTTTCGAAGTTCACATTTCCTTTTCTTTGCAATTTTTAGAATCACCCTCGCAACTCGTGTGATTTTCATTTCTCTGTGTAGAAGATGTAGGAATTCACGCGCCTTATAGAGGGTGCTTAAAAATTCTTTTTGAATTCTTTTTCGTTTTCATGAAAGTCAGTCAGGATAGTTTGTGGAGAGTCCTTCTTTTTTGTCTGTAAATTTTGGAGATGTCTTTGCAAGCCGCATGAAATTTTGTTGATGGACAATAGAATAGGTGTAGGAATTCAAGCGCGTGAGCAATTTCTTTTCAAGATTTTCAGTTTCAATCCGGCTGTAGGAATTCGTCGCAACTTCTTTCGCATTTCGCATAACTGTTTTCGTGCCTTTACGTTTCTTGCGGATGCGTTGCTATGTGCACGCCTCTTCATACAATCTTTGCTCCTGTAAGTCATCCTCCTCCTTCGTGCCTTCGCCGCTAAGCTGTAGTTGTCCTCTTCTCCCTCCTTTCGCGCCCAATCCTACTTCTTGATCCAATTCAAGTTGAAACTTGACCCCTATTTTCACCGTCTCCCGTAACCCCCTTTACCGCGTTCGTTTAATGCCCCTGAGGATCTTGTAAATCCACAAGCGGCCATAGAAGTCAGACGGCAACTTGTGTTGAGAGACTTTCATCTCCCACTCTGCAATCTAATTGACAACGATTGCCCTTGTCGGATCGACATGGCCTTCCTACTGTCGACCTTGTTACGTCTCTCCGCTTCTCATCTTTGTCCCTCCCTGATCATCATCCCCTCCTTCTCTTTCTTTGCAACCATAAGTTTTGTAAACATGTCCCCTTCGCTCTCTTCTATCTCGCATGCATCTGCCAACTTTGCTGGAGTAGTGGCTATATCACAGTGGTGATCAGCAAGTCAGAACGCCCTGGCGGGTCGATTGCAGCTTTGCGTGATCGCGAGCCAGATTGCTACGGCGGAATGCATGATCTGGCCGGATCAGCAAAGGAGTGGGGTTGACGGGGTGGCGATCATTGAGGTTTGCGATAAGTACGAGGCGATGAGGATCGTCAGTACTTGAGCGGGTTGAGATGTAACGGATGGTTGGCTGGCCAGGGGCCGAAGTTCTGAGACCGAAGGATTCCACATTTTTCTTTTACTGTTTGGCGAGTAAAGTGTCATGGCGAGGTGCCAAGCTTTTTGGTCTCAATTGTGTGTTCCGATCTTCCTTTTCCTCGCCATCTCTCCTTTTTCCTTCCTCTTCCTCTCTCGGTCCTTTTCAATAATCCATGGATGATGCATGTGTGTGCTGAACTTTTTTCACGCCTTCCCACTTTCGGTAAGTGTCATGCAGATCTTTCGGAAGCACGACACAAATGCGGGACTATCTAATCCGAGGTATTCCTT